CTTATTTTATTGAGATTTATTATATTATGTGGTTAACAAACTTATTTTAATTTTAAATATGCATGATAGTATGAATAATTCACCTTGCATATTGTATGAATACATTTATATTCAGATTAATTATGTCTAATCTATTTTATCTGCTTGCTAACATATTCAATGTATGTGGACCTCATTTATAATGACTGGAAAATGAACTTAGATATTTTATTCACAACGTAAGGGTACAAAATGTATTTACTACTTCTATACCTAATCCTTTTACTTTGAGATACCGAATTTGACATTTATGACTTTAATAAATTAGATAAGGCAAATGATATGACTTGGTGCAATATTATAGAGTTTATCTCGAATATGCTTTAAAGCTAATATTTGCATTATTTTATTTTCTTCAAGCATCATGTTAAATGTCAATGAAATGTTTTGGTGAGATTAGATAGAGCATATGTCTGAGTACTGTGTCAAATTTAATTACCATCAAGATAGCCTGAGGAACTCCAGTTTGATATTAGATTTTGAAAAATGATTGTTTATTATTTAAAAATTGAACTGGAGGTCAATAGGGCTAACTTGAATGGTAAGTTTCATATTGACATGATTATTGCCTTGTTACTAAAACTGGTTCGGTTCGTTCAGAGTAAACTAAATAAGGAATCAGTTTGAGTTCACACTCGCTGATATTCTTATAGAATTGGTAACAGATGAAGGGATAATCAAGAGTATGGGCGTTCCTATCAATCTAACCTAGTCTATAAAATCTTCTTCTAGGCTCAAGTGGACAGGGCAAAGCAAAAAAGAAGGATGATAATAGGATTAGGCCAGCACAAAACATGGGTATCAAAAAGGTTAAAGGGAATAAGGCAATGTATGTTGAGGGTGAAGGAAATTGTTTCTTTTGCTGCTAACTAAGACACTGAAGGACGAACTGTCTAAGCAATGACGTGGCATAGGAAAATATATATTTAATCATTGAGTCATGTTATGTGATTGTATCTATTAATTCCTGATGGATAGATTCTTGAGCCACTAAACATGTTCGCAATTCGTTGCAAGGATTTTAGGAATCCAGAAGCCTCGATGATATGGAGATATATATTTATCTTTTGACCTGATGTTGAGGTTGTAGCTAAGTCAGTGGGAGTATTACATCTGAAATTAGAGAGTATGAGGATATTAGTATTAGAGAACTATCTTTATGCACAGAAGTTAGACGCTATCTAATTCTTGTTTCACTTGTGGTTTATAAAAACTGGATTGTTATTTTGTAAAACTGGTTTTATAAAATTGAATACATATGCGAATGCTTCTGGTGCATTGAAAGATGGTTAATATATTATAATCATAAGCTCTTAACATTTGCAGGATGTAGAAACTAATGTTGCATCTTCTAGATTGAATGTTAAGAGAAAATTTGTTATTCCTGACTCATTGTATTTTTAGTGTCAATTTTTGGGTTGTAATCAATCAAAATGAGATTCAAAGATTGATTGAAGAAGGTTTATTACCTAAAGAGGCAAATGAGCCTAAACCAAACTTGTGAATCCTGTTTTGAAGGATAGATAACTCTAAGGGCTTAATCAGCCAAATGAAATAGACATAAAGGACAATTGGAGTCGATACACACAGACACACGTGGTCTTATGAACATCCAAGTAAGATTACTCACGCTTTAGATAAATTTATCTGATACGACACAAGTCTTAAATTTTTGGTATATTCCAAAAGTGTCAAGACTAACGTGGAGCACAAATTAGGTAAACTTATCAAAACACTTCGATCTGATCGTGGATATGAGTATTTCTTGGGATAGTGCAAAGACTATATAGTTAATGAGGGTATTGTGTACCAGTTTTCCGCAATTAACGCTCAATGGATTGAGGTGTCAAATAGGAATAACAGAATTTTCGCTTAAAATGGTTAGATCTATGAACAGTTATGTTACATTATCTCTTTCATTTAAGAGTTTAGCTTTAATGATATCGATGCGCATTATGAACTGCATTCCATCTTAGTCTATCTCAAGGATACCGTATGGGGTAGTCTTGCACATGAGCGCTTGATATGGACAAAGAAGTTGGAAACAGATCATACGCATGATAGAATTGATAGCTACTCTAAATGTAGTAGGATGGATTATTTTATGATCTCAATAATAAAAGTTGATTGTTTACATTCACTATTTATCTATAGGAGGATCATATTATGAATCATAAACCTAGTAGCATAGTATTAGAGAATATGGTATGAGTACCAAATGTACCACATGATAAACACACTTATTATAGAGATTAAGAATTATAGATGAATTCCCTATTGATGCGTCAGCATCATCTAGTACACAGATTCCTGTATCGATTCATTGATGTAGTGGGAGGATTGTCATCCAATCCAATAAAATCATGTTTTTAGGTGAGACTGTTATGGACATCCCTGTTAAACATGAGTTGGACCCAGTAAGCTACACGAAAGCGTGAACCGATATGGACAGATCGTTTTGGCGAGTTACTATGATATAAGAGTTGGAATCTATGTATTCTAATAAATTATGGGATCTTGTAGAACTTTCTAGTAGAGTGATACCTATGGAAGGCAAGTTAATTTACAAAAAGATACCAGAAGATTTCTTAGTGAATAAATCATGAGTGTACAAGGGAATGTCATTATTTTTCTGATTCTCTATATATTGATGACATCCTACTCATTTAGAATGATGTGGAAGTTTTGTCATTAATAAAGAGGTAGTTGTTCAATTACTTTTAAATGAAGGATTTTCAAGATGTAAGCTATATTCCTAGGATCAAGCTTTTGCAAGATCAGGTTAAAAGAAAAATAGGCTTATCTTAATAATCCTACATTGATAAAGTTTTGACCAAGTTTGGTATGCATAACTCAAAGAATGAGTTCTTACTTTAGTGATATGGATTACTCTCTCTAGTAAGTAGTTTTTCCAAGACTAGCAGAGAAGATTGAGCGAATGAGACTGGAACTATATGCTTTGGCATATGGGAGTCTTATATATGCCATGGTCTATACCAAACAGGACATTCGCTACATTGTAGGGATAGTTAGATGATATCAGTCAAATCCTGGACTTGATAACTGGTCTGTTGTGAAAAATATCATTAAGTACCTAAGGAGAACCAATGATATCATACTCATTTATAGGTGTGATGATATGGTCCTAGTCAGGTATGCTAATTCTGATTTTTAATCAGAAGTAGATACTATGAGGTTTATGACTTAGTGTATGTTTACTCAATGGAAGGGAAATCAGTTAGTAGATTGTTAAGCAGATTTCAACTGCTGACTTAAACCCACAGGTGAAGTACATTATAGCCTTAAAGGCGGCAATGAAAGTTTTTTTGGTTTGATCTCACTGATTTAGAGGTTGTGGAGCATACTAGCCTGCCTATCGAGCTATTTTGCGACAATAGTGCAGAAGTAGTCCAAACCAATGACCCAAGGTTCCATAGAGGAACAAGATACACTGAGAGGAAATATCATGTTCTATAAGATATTGTTTGGTAAGAAAATGTACTTGTGGCTAGAACATTGCATTGGAACACAACTTTATTGATCTATTAATAAAGGTGTCATTGATCAATAATTTTAATCGTCATCTAGATAACATTGGAGTTAGATGTAATTTGAATTGTCTATGAGGGCAAGTGGGAGCTGTTGGGATTTATATGCCCTGGCATAACAAATTTCTATCTGGATTATAGTGACATATGTTCCTGATGTTTCTGAAATATTTATGTTTTATACAATTGGTGAATTTAATGTATTATGTTTCGATTCATTATAGAATTGATAGTATCCACTTGATTACAAGAGATATTTATATATGTATGTAATGGTGATCAATACATGAATATAAATAGTAATCATAAATTGTTCATAGTCGGTAATTATGGATGGACTCATAATTAATTAAGACTTAAACTGGATCCGCGTTAGGTTGAAATATATTGCAAGAGCCGTCGTATGCAATTACTCCCTATCACCATCATGACATTTGACTCTTAAGCATGAGAAAAATATAGACTCTTTTATTAATTAATAATTACTTTGATTCGTTCGCTGGATTCTTCGGGATCCTTAGACCGACACTTTGGATAGTTATGTAATTAATAGTTAAAGGGTTATATTTTCAATATTTGCATCATTGATTTATTATATATTTATTTATTTAAATTATTATTTTTGTCAAACAAGTGTTTTATTGTGATCAAGCCAGAAATAATCAATGGTACCAAAATAAATATATTAATTAAGTAGTCGGATTGATGGCTTTATTTATCCGACAACTAATTATGCATAGAGGGGTCAAAGTGCAACATTGACTTAGAGGTTATTTATTATTTAATTGGAGTTCAATTAATTTCTTTAGTGGAGTAGAAATTAATTTATAAATTAATTGAATTGGGTCCATGAACCGGGCCAATATTAATTCATTATAACCAATAAAATAATAGGCCCAATGGATTCTCACTCATAGCCCAACTTGATATTGGAATCGTATTAGATTTAAGACATGTGAATTAGAGATTGAGAAGGATTTGTTGTTTCTTTTTCTTTATCTTTATGTTGCCTATAAATATACATGGTCTATGTATATTTTGGGTGTGATTTTGATGAGAAGGAAAAGGGAATATATTTTCTCTCTCTAGAAAATTAGGGTTTATGTTCTCATCTAATGGAGGCTCCCACAAGCTTAGTTTTCCAAGGTCATTCATGGAGGCTTATGAGTGATTCCTAAAGGCAAAATAATTACCAAGAAGATGGAGATCCAAGGAGAAGGCATCTTGCTAAGGGATCTACAATAAGTGAGAACATTCACTTTAGAGGAAAGAATTAAAGGTTTACTCAGACCTTTGATGTAAGTATTCAATTTATTAATTGAATGATACATCATATTTTATTTTTGCATAAAACTTGTCTCTATGTGATGAATCAAGATCTATGAATCAAAATTCCTCAAAAAGTTTTTTAAACTAGCACATTTCCCAACAGACACAACACAAAGTAATGTCTATGGAGAAGATGCTCTCTCCTCGAATCCGTTGATCAGGAAGATTGGCCGGTGGTCTGATAGCTGAGGGAGGATGCTCCCATTCATCTATGACACGTCTGGCATTCACAGAATTGGAGATGGTTGTAGATATGAGTTTCAATCTGATTGTCTCTAGCGTTTGGTGAAGCGATGAATTTTGGGTGAGTGATTTTTTCTTAAAAATTCTCCGATTACGCTCTATCCAAATACTATAAACCAGTGATGCTAGAGCCAATTTTGAAATTGAGTTGCTGTAAAAACCCGAATTGCATCTCCAATGATAGGATGCCTAGGAAATTAGATCCATCCAAGAGGAAAGATGAATATGGAACCCGCACCGTGATTGAATAAAAGACCACAAGGGCTTTGTATAATCACACTTGAAAAACAGGTGGTCGTGGGACTCCAATTGGTTATTGCAAAGGAAACATAAGGTGTAATTGAGGTAAGCCATACACCTTCTATTCAAGGTTGGTAATTTTTGCTGTATAGCAACCCAAAGGATGAAAGAATGCTTCGAGATTGATTGTTTAGTCCAAACCAGGTGAGTCCATGGTAGGCTAGGCAGATGCCGGTTGTTGAACTTCATTGTTTAAGCAATTGAGAACACCCCAGTGGAAGAAGGGAGCCATATAACTTTATCTTGACTTTATGAACATAGAGATGGTAATGGTGTAGTGAGCAATTGCGGAAGTATGTTAGTGATGGCAGATGGAAAGGACCACGCAGAGGTAGCCATGAAGGAGCTTAGCTTTGTCTTGCTATCAAAGCTTGAGTCAATGATTTGTTGTGGAGAGATAAGTTGATGCAAGGGCCTAGGCTGCACCAGTTGTCAAACCAAAAAAATGTATTCCTTCCATTACCCAGTTGAAGTTTAACAAGAGGCTTAATTGATACTCTTAGGTCGAGGAGTCTCCTCCAGTTCCAAGAGCACTACCCAGGGATTTTTATATCCTAAATGCTTCTCCCCTTAAGCAAGAAGGTGTTAACCCATTGGACCCAAAACATCTTCTTAGAATTGATGATATGCCAGAAATGTTTTATGACTGCCACTTCGTTCTATGAGGCTAAATTGGGGATGCCAAGACCACTCGTTCTTCGAGGGAGGCAACAGGTATCCCATGTTACCTTTGACCTTATTTTCTTGATAATAGGACCAGTCTAGAGGAATGATCTAAAGATGCAGTCTATTTCGTGAATGATACTCATTGGTAGGATGAACTTAGAGCTCCAGTAAAGATGAGTAGAGAACAGTATAACTCTAATAAGTTGCATCCTACCAATAAATGAGAGATCTTTGCTAGTCCAGTGTGAGATTCTAGAGGTGATCTTATCAATAAGAGTCCTACAATCCAAAGCTCTGAGCATGGAGGTGACCAATGGGACTCCAACATACCTCACGGGTAGCTCCCCTTTTTGAAATTCAAGAATGGATAAAATATTAGCTTCCAACTATTCACTGACTCCAGTGATGAAGACTTAACTCTTGTTGTGGTTGATGAAGAGGCCAGAAAGGGCAGATAATGTCTCAATAGCATCCTTGATTATTTTAATTGATGGAATGTTGGCATGTGAGAAGACCATAAGATCATCAGCGAAGATAAGGTGGGTTAGCCTCAACTGCTTCCATTTTTAGTGAAATTTGAATGACATGTTAGTAGTGACCTTGTTGATGATGAGTGAGAAGACCTGCATAACAATCACAAAGAGAAAAGGTAACAAGGGGTCACCTTGTCTCAACCCTTTGACACTTTTAAAGTAGCCATTGAATTCACCATTGATAGAAATTGTAAATAAGGGTGTGGATACACAAGTTTGAATCCAGTTGATGAACAGAGTGGGAAACCCAAATAATTTCATGGAATCAAATAGGTAGTCCCATGATACTGAGTCAAATGCTTTCTTGAGATCGATTTTGAGAGCACAACGTAAGGAGGAAGTATGCCTATGGTAGCCATTAAGGAGCTCTTGGGCAAGTAGAATGCTATCATCAATTTATCTTCCATGAATGAATGCAAATTGACTATGATCAATGATGTGAGGCAATGTCGGCTTGAGCTTATTTACAAGTAGCTTTGAAATGCACTTGTAGATGATAGAATAATATGATATTGGTCTGTAATTCATTGATGGTAGATGGATTTGGGACTTTAGGATCAAGGGAGATGTAGGTTGAGTTAACCTCACTTAGCAGTTTTCCAGTGTAAAAAACTGATGAATTGCCTGTGTAACATCATGCCCAATGATTGCCCATGCTTTCTTAAAGAAGAAAACATTATAACCATCAGGCCCCGAGGCTTTATCACACTGAGAGAGAACATACATTGCTGAATTTCTTCCGCAGTAGGTATGGAGCATAGAGCATCAGAGAAGGATGAAGGTTGGATGAATAAATGTAGTTGATCCATACCTGGGGAGATATATGGATTCATACCAACGCAAGCATGAAAGTGGGAGACAATTTCATTCTTGAAGGCTGATTTAGTGTCAAGTAGTACACCATTGGTAGTGGAAATGGATGAAATCTTATTCCTGTTGAATCTTGAGGTATTGGAGTCGCCATCTTTAAGCCATAACACTTTTAATTTCTGCCTACAAAGCTTCTCTTCTATGAGTTTAAGATTTTTGTATGTTGATAGCAGTTGCTTTTCTTGGGCTCTCAATGAGGAATCATCTGGTGCATTATCAAGAGCAAGCTGGCAGCTTGAAAGGGATTCTTTAGCATTCTTGACTTCAATCTGGATTACACTTAAGCATTTTGAGAACTTCGATCTTAGTGGTTGCTTGAGGCTCTTCAATTTAGAGACCACTTGGAACATAATATGGCCATCAATATGTTTGCTCCAGTGGGAATGAACTAATGGAAGAAAGTCCTCATGATCACTCCAGGAATTAAAGAACCTGAATGGGACTCTTCTCAGTGGCATAGGATTGCCAAGGTTAAGAATCATGGGTCGACTGTGATCTGAAATACCTGGAGGGAGGAAAGTGCAATGGGACATAGGATATGAGTGATTCCAAAAGTCATTAATGAGAACTCTATCTAACTTCCTGGATATATTGAAGACACCAGGACTCTTGTTAGACCAAGAGTGGAGGACACCAGAGAAATGAAGATCTTCAAGATTGGATGAGTGGAGACAACGTCTGAAATCCAGCTAGCATTGGTCTAGTTGTATTCCTTGAACCACCATGGTCCTCATATGAGGATTTGATAATATTAAAGTCACCACCGAGGATCCAAGGTGAGGAAAAGAAAGTAGATGAATGCTTGACAATGTCATCCCAAAGACTCTCCCTCTCTGTGGCTTCATTAGCTCCATAGATGAAGGATGTGTAGAAAGTAGACCTGCATCTCAATATGGTGACATAACAGTGTATGGCCTGTCTTGAGCATTGTAGGACTTGAACATCAACTGATCTTGGATTCCATAGGACCAAGATCCTTCCCAAGGGTGAGTGGTGGTGCATAAATATTCAATCCAACAGTTGGTGATTACGCATTTTATAAGAATTTCTACATAAAACTGAGAAAGCCAAAATATCACTTTTCCATTGTAAAAGAAAAAAAATATTGGAGTAGATATTGCCATCTATGAAGTAGAAAAGAAAGCAACGTCAAGAAGAAAAATTCAAAAAAAAAAATACAACCTCACTTACCGGATAGGATGCTAAACAAAAGACACGAGACATACTGAAAAGGAAGAGACGATTGTTGTTGAGTTCTTAATTAGGAAGAAAATAACATCTTTATCCCAAATTGAGCATTGTATTTTGGTAGTGAGTGCAAACTACAATGCCAACAATTCCATTCCTCTCACCACCTCCATCCACAACCAGTCCATGAGATGCTACAACTCTATTCATCTTTCTCTCAGTTAGTGCCTGAGATGAATTGTAGTTTGGTGGTCAGTCCATATATGTATTTGTTGTTTGACCCTAAAATAACTATTTGTCCAATAAATTCTAAGTTACCAATAGCCTCCATGACTTGAAATTGTAAAAAACATACATGGATTATCTAAGTTTTCTCCATATTTCAAGCACAATATAAGAAGAGCATAAAGTGCATGCATTGATTATAAAAAAATTGTAAGAATGCCTTATGTTTATATGTACATGTATTCATGTATCATGCAAAACTGGTTTTTCATGCAAAAATAGTTGTTTAATTCTTCATGCTATTTATATATCATGCAAAAATTGTTATTTAATTTATCATGCTATTTAAATAAACATTGTAACATTCATGTGATTAGAACATTCATATATAACAATAGTCGGTGATTACACGTTTTATAAGAATCTCTACATACAAAATATCACTTTTTTATTGTATAAGAAAAAAATAAATTGTAGTAGATTGCCATCTATGAAGTAGAATAGAAAGCAACGTCAAGAAGAAACATTCAAAAAAAGAAAAAAACTAATAATAAGAAAAAGGTAAGAAAGAAAGAAATGTGCATTGTGTAATAGGAATCGCTGCTCCAACTCTTCAATTCAACCCTAGCAGAATGAGTTTTGTGATTTGTCTACCCATAAAGTGGGATAGAAAAATGACTTCACTAAAATAATTATCAATCACTTAGATTGGATTAACCAGAGGAACAAGAAGTATATGCATCATAATTGCAAACACGAAATTTAAATTTGACAGGATGTAAAATACTTGAAATATTTAAGCACTTTGATGAATGTTTTAAGGAAAATATTACTACGGGATATTATGATCATGAAGTCATGAGCTTTTCATGTATATGGAATTGTGGTTCAAATAATCTCTTGTTCGAGGGAAACTTATTTCTCTCTCTTGTTTTTTATTCAAATTATTCTGTTACTTGGCGAAATTTGCAATTATGATATGAGAGGGAGGGTGAATGAACTTGCGGAGTTGTGCTGGGATCCAATTTTGACCCAATTATTAAGTTTTGTGTGTGGATGTGTTTTTGACCCAATTATGATTTTGTCGAGTTGTGACCCGAAAATTTCTTTCACCCATTTTTGTTTTGCAGGTTGTAGACCCAAAATTTAGTCTGTGTTGTAAACCGGTATATAAGAATACTTGGATTTGTACTATGGGATAGAAAGAACACTGAAAACTGAAATAGAAAGTGAAACAGAGGTAATGTGTTGAGTGCTTGATAACCTATAGTACTATTAAGTGATATTCAGGATATACCGACGTAGGTTATAAGCCAAACTACATAAATGTGTTTTATGTGGTGCATGTTTTATGTTTTTAATTGTTCTTTTTATTTTGTGTGTGGTTTGCTCGTGATTGTTGTAGCAGAACTATTGTGTTCTGCATCAATTCAAATGCTCATCGTTAACTAATTTTTTTTGGTGCCTTTCTAGCATATAAAGATTGAAGAATATCATATATGCAACATAAAGATAAATCCAACCTAATCTTACTCCATCACGAAACTGAGCATTTTGTGATCTTCAATGCACAATTGAAGTACACTCATTTCAAGTCCTGCAAAGAGCACATGGGCTCAAAGATGAAGTTAAAGCATATGGAAAATTACTAATAATTTATTAGACTAGTTTACCATGCTTTAGCTTTAGATGACATTAGTTGAACCCAACGTTATTTTTTAATCTCTTCTCATTTGTTCTACGTTTGCTTTTCTCCTCTGAGAAATAGAATATTGCAATTGATAAATTTTAGTGTCAAAACGTGTCCGATCGAGTTATAAAATTGACTTTACTTTTGACTCTCAATGTTCACGAGTACATCATTTAGTTGTATGTGAGTGAGGATTGTGATGGAGGATACACATAGCCAATTACTATTGATTTGTTACCAAACTAAACAGCCTATAACACAAACAGAGACAACCCATGCACCACGAGTCATTTCCCATTTAATTTGGTTTTAACCGTTTTGATATTGTGGGCTAACCCGAATTCTATGTGGGTTTTGAAATATTTTGGATTAACCCAAGGCATTTTAACCCACACAACTAGAAGCCCAATAAGCCCAGTCCACTTATAATTATTCTGTTTAAAAAGAATAATTAGTTTTAGAACAAAGCAAAAGCCGAAGCCCAGACTGGGTCGGGTGATTGGGCTAAGCTTGGATTGGGTGGCTGGGCTAACCTCAATTTTATATGGGTTTTGAAATAATTCTGGATCAACCCAAGTCATTTTAACCCACACAACTTGAAGCCCAATAAGCCCAGTCCCCTAATAATTATTAGGTTTAAAAAGAATAATTAGTTTTAGAGCGAATTGCAAAAAACCTCCTTGACTATTACTCATTTGCAATAAACCTCCCTTGTGAATGTTTTTAGCAAAAAAAACCCCTCCACTATGAGGAGGGGGTGATTTAACTTACCTCCGTTTAACAATTTTGTGAGATAATTTTTTTTTCAGGAAGTTATTGCTTTTCAACAATTTGCTCTTATGGTTTGTTTATTTATTTTTGTTGGTCATGAATTAAGGAAAAAGGCAAAAGAATAGAGGTTATCATGTTCTTTATATGATGCTAGTACTCTGTTTGTGGAGACTGTTCTTGGGAGTAGATGCATAAGCTCGGTGCCTAAAGCATCAACATCATTTTATTCCTGTTAAAAACTAACAAAGTAATGATGTTCAACAATAAAAGCATCTCCAAGTTCTACTCATTGAACAATAAAAGCAGTTGGGTTGTGTCGGTTTATAAAAATAAATTTTACAATTTTTAGAAATAATCTTTTATTTTTTTTAGGTTAAGGGTAAGCAGCAATGACGTAGCCACATAGGGACAAGTGAACTGTCTCTACTGAACTTTTAATTTTTAAAAATTTTATATGGAAATATTTTTATATTTGTATTGTTGCTCTCTCTAAAATTGACATTGCACACATAATATATATATATATATATATATATATATATATATATATAAGAAAAAGCCCATTCTCGAGAGGAATACAATCGTGACACAATTGTAAATATATAGTATAATATATCTATCAATTTATAGTTTCCAAAAAAATATGATATTTTTTTTTTCACTTTCCCATAATATTATATTCTTTACCACTTTCCAAAAAAAAAAAAAATGCATCAAGATATTTTATCATACTTTTTGACTTTACAATAAACAAATGGATTATTTATATCACATCTTCATCTTCCACATTTTACACAATTCAAACAAAGCAAGCGGATCTGTCTGGCAGACAGGTAATTTGATTTTTTTTTTTTTTTTTTTTTTTTTACCTTCTAAATTTATTATTATTTGATATTATAATTTTAATTAGAAAAATTATTAATTATTACTATCAAAATTATTTTAGGGCTTCTTGTTCTTTTAAATTTTAGTTTGTGTTTTTATTTTTTTCACATATATGATATATTAGAACAGTTAGGTAATTGTATTATTTTCTTTTTTATATCTTATTCTTGATTCAATGAATATGATTTTTTTTAGTACATTTAATTGAATGAACTCAATTTTGAAACAGCAATGAATAATCTGAAAAATCGAATGTACTGAATACAAATATTATGAATTAATATTTTAAATTTTTTACATATATTATTGCTATTAAAGATTGCCCCCACATAACAAAATTTCTGGCTATGCCACTGGTAAGCAGAATCTAATGGTGATGACGGTTTTGGATATCATTTCTGATCTGGTAAACTGATTAATCTCTTTTACAATCACAAAGGTGTTTGAATTTAGCTACATAATTGTGATAAATTTGGCTGTCCTTAGTGAATTGGATTGGGTTTGTTGTTC